TAGATATATTCATAAATATTCAGTATGTATGAGGAGGGTGTTTTTGACAATTATTACCACCCTTAAGAACTTAAGGTAAAAAAACATGTTTAATACAAGTCATTCCAAAGTTATCACATCACAATGAAAAGAGAGATAACTATCTCTCTAAAAAGCAATGTAACACACTTATACCAATCAGTTATACTTAATGATTTATTCAAAAAGGAGTGATTTTATTGTTGTTATTGCTACAACAAAACCATAATTATAATAACCCATGGCAATTATACTTTACATTTATTTATAAGCTTTGTGGTACTACATTTTTGTATTAAAAATTATTTGAATCATATTTAAAACAGTACTTTAATATACTGACATATAGAAAGATAATACTGATTATAAAGAATAGTAGAAAGGCTAAAACTTCCATAAAAAGTTTCTTCAAACTTGTTAATATAAAGCATTAGAAAAAAGAAATAATTAGAAACCCAAACATTCAAAACTAACAGCTAATGACCAATTAATTATGCTACAATCTTTTTCTGCCTGCATTATGGAAAGGTATAATTTAGAGAAATGTGCTGAATAATATTAACTGAAGAGGAAAGTCTTATGTAAGTAAAACTGGAGAAATCTGAGATCATGTATTTCCTTAATATTTACTATTTAAAACAATTTCCATAACACACCAGTAACTATCTCTGACCAGAACTGAAATGAATATACATGCTGACCCCAAGATTGTCAAGTTTGTAATTGTTACCTTATAAAACCATGGAAACTTCCTCAAAAGGTAAACAAAAAAATCAGGCATTTTTAACATGTAGGTACAAACTGGACTATCACTGTAATTTTATCAATCCAGACTATTAACAGAGAAGAAAAAAACATACTTACCAGATGGAGACATATATTCTGCATTTGCCCTACAAACTACTTTGACAGGCAGATTACACATTTGCAAAAAGGCCTGTAAATCAAGAGACATACAATAAGCCTAGTGAAAGCATATACATATTTGAACAGAACTTTTCATTCATTTATTTTCTAAACTCAATTAACAGTTGATACTGCAATACTTCACTGGAAAAGAATGAACCAATTTAAAGTGAAGGATTTGTTTTCCAAAAAAAAATAAAATGTCATTTCACTACTTAAAAATCAATGATTTAGATACCAGTAAACATATGAAACTTAAAGCATATATATATACTTAAGGAAGAAAATATAAATTATCCATAATTATTTTCCTGTATTAGTTTATGTAAGTCAGCAATACTGCATATTGCTTTAATTTTCTTAAATAGATGACTAAAATCCAAATGTTATAAGCTATTGATTGCTTAATTCCACTACTCTCTACAGGATCATCATCTTTCTTGTCTTAGGGGAAAACTCAAAATGTTATTTCTGGGCCGGGCGCAGTGGTTCACGCCTGTAATCCTAGCACTCTGGGAGGCCGAAGCGGGTGGATTGCTCAAGGTCAGGAGTTCGATT